CGCCCCCCACAATGTGAATGAGTATAGAGTACATAGTACCCCTATATCATTCACCAAAAAAAAAGTAGTTTAAAAAAAAACTGGAAGTAATTTTTGACAAAAACAAAAATAAAGAACAATATCCCAATAGAACTGCCCCGATGTCAGATCCATCGATACAACATCCAATCACCAATACAACATGCCCCGGTCAGTTGTCACCAATTCTTGCCCCGGTCAGTGACATCACCAATACATGCCCCGGTCAGTGACATCACCAATACAACATGCCCCGGTCAGTGACGTCACCAATACAACATGCCCGGTCAGTGACGTCACCAATACAACATGCCCCGGTCAGTGACATCACCGAGTGGCACACCGTCCCTTAGTATATTTAGTGGCAGGAGGCAGCAGAGCTGTCAGACAGAGGGGAGTCTTCATTGGGAGCGGAGCTTTTCTTTCCGAGTCAGCGGTGACAGCGAGCATCGTGATTGATGATGGATCTACACCGGGGGGACATTTTGCTTTAGTTTTGCTTTTTTAATAAAGGACTTGTCAAAAACTGCCTGCTGTCTATTTAACAGAATACTTTTTGGGGGTGAATAATTAGGGGTACCATGTACCCCATACTCATTCACATGGGGTGAGGGATCTGAGGGCCCCCTTGTTACATTTTGTAAGTCCTCTGCCTGCAAACCCCCACAGCCACTAGCCTGGGTTGTGGGGAAGAGTCCCTTGTCCCCATCAACATGGACAAGGTGCTCTGGGGGAGCAAAGCCCCCCCCCCCTGCCCCAGAGCATCCACTCCATGTTAAGGGCACGTGGCCTGGTATGTTTCAGGAGGGGGGGGTCGCTTGCTCATCCCCCCCTTTCCTGACCTGCCAGCAGCATGCTCAGATAGGGGTCTGGTATGTATTTCTTTCATTTTGGCAAGGGGTCCCCCTCAAAATCCATACCAGAGACCCCCCAGGGGGGGACCCTCAACATTTTCTTAATTTTGTTGCCGGTAATTTTTTTTTTTTTTTTTTTTAGATTTATCGGTTGGTTAGGACGCGGCGGCCGCTCGCTCCCTAACAACCATGTTGTTTACTGGTTGTTAAGGATGCCAGCGGCCGCCCACTCTTTACCAAGCAGTACACATTTCCTGAATGCCGCATGTCTCCACCACTAATTAATGACCGCATGCATTTCATTTTTATTTCCTTCTGTGAATGTAACGCCTGTTCATGCGGTATTTACTGAGCGTGTTCAGTGTTTGTGGTCAATACCGCAACACGGGATAGGAAATGGACAGTTTCAGGATGGCATGCGGTATTTAGGGGAAATGTACCGACATATCACATGTGATCTGCTTCTGTGAAGGGAGACAATGTGTGGATTTGTGTGTGTGATGTGTCACAATCATAAATCTTACATTTTACAGATGATATTTTCTCTCATTTCCTTGATTTAGAGTGGAGATCCAATCGATATAGAATTTGAGGTGAAAAGCAGAAGAAGAAGAGGCGTATGTGAGGGATGATCAGCAGTCTATGGAGGAGGATGGAATAACGGGGACATTTATAGAGGAGGACACTCCTACAGAGATCAGCACAGGTGGGTCATGAACACTAAATCCATTCCTCCACCCATACTGCTCACTGATTGGTCCAGAGTAGTAAGGGGGGACTGGGTGATATCAGCCTGTAATCCCCTGGTCACTTTCCTGAGCTGTGTTCCCCGTCCTGTATTCCTGGATTTCTCTCGGATAATCTTCCTTCTCTGTGCTGCAGACACAATTTATGTATCTAGACTGGATTTATGGAGGTTCTGGGGTTCAGCTGGCAGCAAAATGTTCATTTTTCACATAAGTGCATTGCATAATGTAGACACCCAGGACATGTGACTGGGGTCTCCTGCCTTGTGCCTGATCCTCTCCAGGGTGACCTTCTCAGGGTTACTCTCTGCTGCTGTGCCGGGTGGAGGGATATGTCTGTAGTGTCTCAGACCCAAGTCACTGAGTGCAGTCTCAGGAGATGGGAGGCAGCGGTGTGTGGGATCTCTGCAACTTGTCATTAGAAGGCAGGGGAAGCAGTTGAACCTGAAGCCAGTGAAGCCTAGAACAGTCCAAAACATTCAATCACTGATTAGAGGGGAGCCAAAAAGGACTAAAGGTGCCTAGGCTATCTGGAAACCTGTCTAGGAGGGTGCTATGCACTATATAATTTATATTACAACTTGACCCATGCACTATATACTCTATGTTGTACATTACATACTCCTGACCCCTGCACTATATACTCTATGTTGTACATTACATACTCCTGACCCCTGCACTATATACTCTATGTTGTACATTACATACTCCTGACCCCTGCACTATATACTCTATGTTGTACATTACATACTCCTGACCCCTGCACTATATATACTCTATGTTGTACATTACATACTCCTGACCCCTGCACTATATACTCTATGTTGTACATTACATACTCCTGACCCCTGCACTATATACTCTATGTTGTACATTACATACTCCTGACCCCTGCACTATATACTCATGTTGTACATTACATACTCCTGACCCCTGCACTATATACTCCATGTTGTACATTACATACTCCTGACCCCTGCACTATATACTCTATGTTGTACATTACATACTCCTGACCCCTGCACTATATACTCTATGTTGTACATTACATACTCCTGACCCCTGCACTATATACTCCATGTTGTACATTACATACTCCTGACCCCTGCACTATATACTCCATGTTGTACATTACATACTCCTGACCCCTGCACTATATACTCTATGTTGTACATTACATACTCCTGACCCCTGCACTATATACTCTATGTTGTACATTACATACTCCTGACCCCCTGCACTATATATTCTATGTTGTACATTTATACTCCTGACCCCTGCACTATATACTCTATGTTGTACATTACATCCTCCTGACCCCTGCACTATATACTCCATGTTGTACATTTACATCTGACTCCTGACCCCTGCACTATATACTCTATGTTGTACATTACATACTCCTGACCCCTGCACTATATACTCTCTGTTGTACATTACATACTCCTGACCCCTGCACTATATACTCTATGTTGTACATTACATACTCCTGACCCCTGCACTATATACTCTATGTTGTACATTACATACTCCTGACCCCTGCACTATATACTCTATGTTGTACATTACATACTCCTGACCCCTGCACTATATACTCTATGTTGTACATTACATACTCCTGACCCCTGCACTATATACTCCATGTTGTACATTCCATAGTCCTGACCTGCTCTATATCCCCCCATGCTATATATACACATACTATGGATTCTCTTTTGTTCCCCCATTTCCTACCAGCTGGACATTTTATATCGGATGATGTGATTGGAGCACAGACTTTTACATGTGTGATAATAATGTGATCATCCTCCAACTTTGGACCCCTTATAACCACTTGACGCCGACGTAACACAAATATGCGTCCTCACGGACCTGGGCTTTTTTCCGTGGGGCCGCATATTTGCGTACCTGTCTTTGTGCTGGGAGCGCGTCCGCTCGGTGCGCTCCCAGCACCAAGATACGCGGTGTCTGAGAGCCCCGGGTCCCGTTCTAACGATCGGGACCCGGGATTCCCGATTCCGGGTCCGTGATTGCTGTGATAGCCTCTATTGGCTATCGCAGTGATCAATCACTGTGCAGCCTGCCCCCTTGCACTCTCTCTCTATGAATGGAGAAGAGAGATACATTGTATCTCTCTGACTCCGGCACATAGAGAGATAAGAAAAAAAAGTTTGTTAAATAAATATATATTAAAAAATAAAAGAAAAAATAAAGAAAAATACCTAGATCAAGGTTTGATCTAGTTCAGTACCAGGGTTAGTGTTTGGGTCAGGGTCAAAGGTCAAAGGGCTAAAGGTCAGGGTCAAAGGTCAGGATTTAAAAAAAAATTGGTATCAGTGTCAGTTAGTGTTAATGTCAATGTCAGTGTCCATATAAAAAAAAAAAAGACAAAAACAATATGCGCACTGTTGTTTCTGGACTGTACTACGGGTACAAAACAACAAATATACACATATATGGTATCGCTGCGATCGTCAATAACTGGAGAATGTATTTTGGGTTGTTCTTTGGTGGTAGGTTTGGTCGTAACAAGAAACACCAGTTAAATTTAAAAAAATGATTTTTTTACTATTTTGGATGATAATAATAAAAAAAATTAGGAGCTATCCCATTACCATTTACTCACCAAATGAAAGCCCAATTTGTCCTGACACAAAAACAAGGTATAATCCACCTGGATGTACAAAGTAGTTATGACGATATGTTCGGTTTTACTACACGTCAACTGCAGAATTGTGCTTAGGCATTTAGATTGTGTTTTACCCTCAGGTGTGAAGGGGTTAAACAGAAAGTGATAATGAGGGAGGAATCAATACCCCAATGATGGTGGTCTTCAGGATCAGTCCAGTCTTCATCTTGGTTGTTCTCCCCCATCCTCACTCTCTGACCTCTGGTGGGGCTCAGCCAGTCCTGGTTTGGGGGAACCAATCAGCTCCTGTCTAGTAATCCTCTTTGTCTTTGTATTTTAGTCCATGGCCGGGAGATGAGGAAAACCTCCGAGGATTGTCTCACTTTGTCTCCAGACTGGAAAGTAGAAGATGAGGACATCACACAGTATAGTCCAGGAGGAAACCCGGCTCCCTCCAATGTCCATCCGGCACCACCCAGTGTAGATGGACCATCGGATTCCTCGTATCCTGAGGAACCTCAGACTGTGCGGGACCGGGCCGGCCTTCCAACAGGGAAGAGAGCTTCTCCTGTACTGAGTGCGGGAAATGTTTCCATTCTAAATCCAATCTTAATGTGCATAAAAGATCTCACACAGGAGAGAAGCCGTATTCCTGTCCTGAGTGTGTGGGAAGGGTTTCCGGCGTAAACAAGAGCTTAATGTGCATAAAAGAACTCACACAGGGGAGAAGCCATATCCTGTCCTGAGTGCGGGAAATGTTTTTCACATAACTCCAGTCTTTACCTTCATAAAAGATGTCATACAGGGGAGAAGCCATATTCTTGTCCTGAGTGCGAGAAATGTTTTTCACAGAAGTCCTATCTTTACCTGCATAAAAGATCTCACACAGGGGAGAAGCCATATTCCTGTCCTGAGTGCGGGAAATGTTTTTCAGTCAAGTCCATTCTTAACAAACATCAGAGATCTCACACAGGGGAGAAGCCGTATTCCTGTCTTGAGTGCGGGAAATGTTTTTCAGTCAAGTCCAGTCTTTACACACATCAGAGATCGCACATGGGGGAGAAACCTTATTCCTGTACTGAGTGCGGGAAATGTTTCAGTTCTAAAAAACATCTTAATAGGCATAAAAGATCTCACACGGGGGAGAAGCCGTATTCCTGTCCTGAGTGTGGAAAATGTTTTTCAGACCAGTCCAATCTTTTACACACATCAGAGATCTCACACAGGGGAGAAGCCGTATTCCTGTCCTGAGTGCGGGAAATGGTTTTTAGACAAGTCCCATCTTTACACACATCAGCGATCTCACACGGGGGAGAGAAGCCATATTCCTGTCCTGAGTGTGGGAAATGTTTTTCAGAAAAGTCTAGTCTTCACAAACATCAGAGATCTCACACGGGGGAGAAGCCGTATTCCTGTCCTGAGTGTGGGAAATGTTTTTCAGAAAAGTCTAGTCTTCACAAACATCAGAGATCTCACACGGGGGAGAAGCCGTATTCCTGTTCTAAGTGCGGAAAATGTTTTGCAGTGAGGTCCTATCTTTCCAGGCATCAGAGATCTCACACGGGGGAGAAGCCATATTCCTGTCCTGAATGCGGAAAATGTTTTTCAAACAACTCTAATCTTTACACACATCAGAGAACTCACACAGGAGAGAAGCCGTATTCCTGTCCTGAGTGTGGGAAATGTTTTGCACATATGTACATTCTTCACAAACATCAGAGATCTCACACGGGGGAGAAGCCGTATTCCTGTTCTAAGTGCGGAAAATGTTTTTTAGAGAAGTCCAATCTTTCCAGACATCAGAGATCTCACACGGGGGAGAAACCATATTTCTGTCCTGAGTGTGGGAAATGTTTTTCACATAAGTGCAGTCTTTCCAGACATCAGAGATCTCACAAGGGGGAGAAGCCGTTTTCCTGTCCTGACTGCGGGAAATGTTTTTTGCAGAAGTCCGATCTTTACAGACATCAGAGAACTCACACAGGGGAGAAGCCACTTTCCTGTCTTGAGTGAGGGAAATGTTCCTCACTGAAGTCCTGTCTTCCTGTACATCAGGGGTCCCACACAACCCTGGAGGTGTATTAATGCCTTGAGTGCGGGAAATGTCTTCTAGATGAATGTTGCTGGACATCCCAGCTCTCATGTGGGGAAGAAGCACACCCTGATATACACCTCAGATATACTCCATGGCTGATCTTCATCATGGAAGGAACAGTTGATAAGGAGATGAGAGGCCCCAAAGACATGGATGAAGTGCAGTAAATGTCGGGGTGCAGAGTGGTCAGTAGATCCTGGAAATGAAGGACACAACTTCAGCCCTTCTTGGGTGTCGGAGTTGCGTTTCCTGATAATGATATAGCGGGTTACAGAGCTAGAAGCCGGGAGAGCCCAGATCTCGTTATCGGGGAACTTTACACAGACAACAAGAACTTCTGAAGTTGATGTCCTTCATTTCAAGGCTCTACAGAACAGTGGTGACCCCGAAGCGTCTCTCTGTCTTCAGTCCATCCTTCTCCCATCCCCCAACAGGAGGGAAGGAGAACTCCGCCCCAAACTAGGGGGGAACTTTCCTCTCATTTCCCTTTGCTTCTGTGTGGGTTTGGGTGGTTGGAGGAGTGCGGCACACGAGAGGGAACACAGCTTGTTGTTCTATGTCTACATATGGGGTCTGGGTAGAGGGGATCCACCGGAAAATATTTCTACTCTTTGATTTTGTACAAATCGTTTCTGTTTTCACTTTGAAGGGTGATATTATGTGTGGTTTGTAAAAGAGATTGGCCCAATAGATACCACCCCACTTAGAGAATAGATGAACTAATATGACCAGCATTCATTCAGCCATGTCAGATGTTGGTCTTTTCATACAGGGATTTCCTATGATCATTGGCTCCATCTAGTGGCCATAATGTGGTGTTCAACTGTTTTTCCTGATTGAGGCATTTTGGTGTCACGGCTGGACACATGCTTGTCTCTCTCCCCCAACATATTATTAGTGTACATTTCTTGTTTATAGAAATCACAGAAGTCACTATCCTGTTGTTGTATTTTTGTTATGACGCAACATGGAGTAGTTTATTGAAATCTCTGTTCTGTATTCTGATTTGGTGATTTATGGAAACTGCCTGAAATATGTCGCGTTCTCATTTATTAATTAAAGCTTGATGAATAATAAAGAAGTCACATTTTGCATCACACATCCAGATGTCTGACTTGTATTATTCCCAAAGTACTTTGAACTGGATGTTTGTATGGAGGAGGAGGCCGGCATAAATTGATGTTCCTGACAGAAGTGGTGTCAGAAGTGGGATAGGATCGGCCATCAGAGGTAAGTGAGCATTTTTTGTCTTCCTTTGCCCTGATGCCCCCTATCTCCACCAAGCCTCTGTGCTGCGGTAGCACGAGCAATTGTTCTCTGGAGCTTTGGGAGCTCGCGGGGTTAAACAGAACCTAGGTTGATGTATAAGAAATGTGTGTATGTCCTCCATACAATCATACAGAGTAGTGTGTTCAGTGATTATGTACGCTTGTAACTAGAGAAACTGTTCAGTAGATGTATTCTAAGTCTCTGTAGGACTGTGAGACGCCCCATCTACTCAGCGAGGAGATTTCTCCATTGACCTGGGATAGGTGAAAGCATGGTGACAGTCTGAAGGAGTCACAATAGGGTGTACCTATCCAGGGATTTTCAGCCTTGAAGCACTTGTGCAGTTTGAGAATTTTGTTGGAGCTCTATGTGAGTTCAGTCCAGCTTCACCCGGCACAAAGAGTCATCACCGGGACAGAAACACATAGGCCAGCTCACATAATATTGCTTCTTTGCTTTGCAGTGATGATGGGAAACTCCCAAGGTAAGGGGAAGTACCCAGACCCTCCGGAGCCACCGTGTAAAGTATTCAGAGGAAGAAAACTGTTAACTTGTTGCCGACCGCAGATAGCCGAATGACGGCTGCACTGCGGCCGGCCAGTTCTGAGTGGACGTCATATGACGTCCCCCCAGAACGCGCTCTCCTGCGCGCCCCAGGGGGCGCGCACCCGGCGATCTCCGTGATCGCTGTGTCCTACGGACACAGCTGATCACGTGATGTGGTAAAAGGCCAATCACAGCGGCCTTTTACCACCTGATCAGCGGTGTCCAATGACACGCTGATCAGAGGGAAATGCAAGTGCCGGTTCTCGGCTGCACTTTCCTCACGCTGTCAGATCGTGAGGAAAGTACTGCCGAGAACCGGCAGTTGTCAGAGCGGGGGATCGGCACCGATCATCAGGGCACTGATGATCAGTGCCCTGATGATCGGTGCCCAGCAGTGCCACCCGCAAGTTCCGCCCACCTGTGCCCAGCAGTGCGCCCCACTAGCTCCGCCCACCTGTGCCCAGCAGATCACCCACCTGTGCCCAGCAGTGCACCCACCTGTGCCCAGCAATGCACCCACCTGTGCCACTCCAATGTCACACACCTGTGCCCAGAAGTGCCACCCACCTGTGCCCAGCAGTGCCGCCCACCAGTGCCACAGTGCTGCCCACCAGTGCCACCCACCAGTGCAGCCCAGCAGTGCTGCCAGTCAGTGCCCAGCGGTTGTGCCAGTCAGTTGCCCAGCAGTGATGCCAGTCAGTGCCGTCTATCAGTACCCATCATCAGTGTCACCTATCAGTGCCGCCTATCAGTGCTGCATATTAGTGCCGCCTATCCGTGACACCTCATTAGTGCTGTCTATCAGTGCCGCCTATCCGTGCCACCTCATTAGTACTGCCTATCAGTGCCCTTTAGTGCTGCCTATCAGTGCCGCCTATCAGTGTGCCCATCAGTGCTGCCTCATCAACGCACATCAGTGAAGGAGAAAAATTACCTGTTTGAAAAATTTTATAATAGAAACAAAGAAACTTTTTTTTTTTTTTCAAATTTTTGGTAATTTTTTATTTATAGCGCAAAAAGTAAAAGTGCCCAGTGGTGATTAAATACCACCAAAAGAAAGCTCTATTTGTGAGAAAAAAATGATCAAAATTTCATATGGGTACAATGTTGCATGACCGCGCAATTGTCAATCAAAGTGCGGCAGCGCTGAAAGCTGAAAATTGGCCTGGTAAATAAGGGGGTATAAGTGCCTGGTAAAGTGGTTAAAGAACTTTACTAAGGAAGACGGATCAGCTTTAGAAAAATCCCAACTACCAGCTAATGAGACATGTAAAGAGTATGTTGCCTGAGTGTCACCTTGGGATTGTTGTCTTGTCCCATGAGTGGACAGCCTGGCGGGGGGGAGTTCAACCATGGGTAGTGCCAGTCCTTTTCCCAGAGATGGGGACAATGATGATTTTCACATGGATATGATAAAGGGGATATGTTTAGGGGATAAAACTGACTTTCCCTATTTTGGTTCAGATCCTGAGTGGGATATGAAATATATGAGAGGGGGAGCATTGAATTGGTTGAAGTATGCCCAGGATATAAGTACCCGACACCAATCCCTTCTGCCCCAGTAGTTAAACAGAGTAATAATCCTTTTTTGCCACTTCTTTGACGCCTGCCACTGCGCTTCCTGATTATATTTCAGTAACTTTTATTGAGTTTTTCAAGGGTAAACAAGGAAAAAACAGGGAAAAGATAAATGGTTCAGTCATACAATATTACAATAGACAAAATATGATTGATCATTTTGTTGTAATTCCATTCTTGGACGGATGAGGTGTTGGTCTTGTTTTAGCAATATCAGAGGTATTCGTGTGTATTTGATGAACTTTGGTGATAAGATTTCAGGGGTTATGGGGGGGTATTGGAGGGGGAAGGATATAACTGGGAAATTGAGGAGATACCAGTCTTGGTATGGGATGTGATTTCATCTCTTGAACTGTCATCAGGGTTGTACATAACATTTTGGGTGATTTAGCCATCGGGTCCACTGGATATTGAATTTGTGGTAGGAGGAAATGTTAATTGCGGATAGTTTTTCCATTTGACATTGGGTGTTTAAGGTCTATAATTAATGAGGTGATTGAGGGGGTATTATTCGTGTTCCATAATCTAGTAATAATTTTTGCTGCAAAGAGTATGTGGGTAATAATTGTTTGGGAATGAGTGGAGAGTTTCTCTATTCCAATGTGAAGGAGTGCTAATAAGGGGTTCGGGACTATCGGAGATTTGTTTATTTCAGATATTAATTGGAATGTAGTATTCCAGAAGGATCGAAGTGACTTGCATGACCATAAAATATGAATTGTTGAGCCTAGTTCGCCACGTCTCCAGCATGTAGGAGAATGTTTTGGGTAGTAGATAGAGAGTTTAATCGAGGTCAGGTACCATTGGTGGAGTATTTTTAGATATGACTCCCAGTGGGAGCTACATCGGGTAGCTTTATAGGTGATGTTGAAGGTATTTTCCCAACATTTTAAGGTGATTTGGGTTGAAAGGATTTTTTCCCAATTGGTTTGGAAAGTAGTTTGTAAAGTGAACTGTGAGTTAATGAGGTGTGCATAAAAAGTGGAAATACCTTTACTTGGGTATTGGGGTTTGGTGAAAAAGGTGTAGGCTGTGATTGGTAGAATGGTGTTGTGGGGTAATTTATTTGTTTGTAAACAGTGAGCGATTCTTAGGTATGTAAAATTTTCAGTAGTGGGGATAGTATATTTGGTTTGGAGAGATTGGAAGGAGTGTAAGGATTGATTTGAATGGAGATCTGCTAATTTAGTTATTCCTTGTTTTGTCCATTGAGATAGGTCCAAAGAGGGGATGAAGAGGTGTACTATGTTGGTTGGAGTAGGTAAATGTTTAATATCTTTGAATTTAGTGGATAGAAGGTCTCGCCAAGCTTGCAGGGAAGCTATAATGCAGGGATGTTTTAGGTGGGGTTCTATGTTTTTGGATGATGGAGACAAGAGTATATTTTGGGGTTTAAGTGGTTGGAAGGGAAGGGTTTCCATTACCAGATTTTTTCCTTTCGAAGGATTCCACCAAAAATATAATTGGTCTAAGAGGGAAGCCGTGTAGTAAGATTTGAGGTTGTGGTGGTTTATGTAAAGA